TTTAAATATTCCAAGTGAAGTGGAATAGGTCGAACAGGAGCCATTAATGACCTGAATCCAGAATACTCTGTAGCCTATTTATTGGAGTGTTCATCTGGGGAGTGGAACAGACAAGTCAAAATCTACCAGCTCTCTCATTTAGAGCAGACTGCGCTGAGACTTCTCACATCCCAGCTGAATTGCCCTAGCAACAATGTTATTATTTAAAAGGGAACAACCTCTTTTTTTTAGTAGCATGACTAACCTTCTGCTTTTAATACGCCCAGCCTTAAAAAGGCATTTCACATTAAACATTTTACTTGATCTTTTTTTGTGTGTGTGCTGTTGGTAGAAGGAGAACTGTAGTACATAAAATAACTATGAAATAACATAAATACAGAAAATTGCTATTTTACATTTGAATGAGTCTGAATGGAGTAGGGGTATTTTTTGTTTTGGTTTGGGTTTTTTGTTTTCTTTTGTTTTTCTTCTGGGGTTGTGGAAGTTATAGATGCTGAACTGTAAAAATCAAGTGTCCATCCTTAACCACGGACTCCTATGCTTATTACACCTTAAGGAAGGCTCAACTCTAAAATACAAAGGGTATTTTATCTAAGCTGCCAGGACTACAAGCTCACTTCGGACTCTGAAAGTCGCACGGTGTTCTCCTCAAAGTTGTCACCAATTGTCAAGGTTTATTTATACTTACGAAACCTTATGGGTCTTCAGATTGTATCCTAAGTGACAACTCTGAAACCAGAGGAATAGTAAGGATCTCAGAGTTTTAGTTGTTTGGAGTTTAGCAAATCAATCTGTTGATGTAAAGGTGACATTTGTGACCTGATAGGGTAGTTCTGTGTGCATGAGAAATTGTGATGTGGAGTCAGAGGTACATCTCTCCGGAGTAATCTTTTTCTAGAAATGTATATATAATTTTTTAAAGTTCCCATCGTCATTGAAAATCAATAGCAATCACAACCTAAAGTGCCAGGAGGCTCTAGCAGAGATGTGGTGGTGGATTAAAATTGGATGGCTGAAATTGTAACAGCCTCCAGCTGCACCATCCACTCCTGTGACAGATGTTGCCTCCCCCAAAACAGGGACAACTGATCTGTTCATGAATCTCCTGATCCACTGCAGTGTTCACCTAAAGTAAACTGACTTGGATTCTGGTTGGCTGTAATACAGATAGTGAAATTTGTCTTGGGAGAGAAAACGTGTACTATATGGGCAGCAAGGATGTCTGGAGAAGTTCAGGAATCTGATTTTAACCTGTTGCTGAATGACCCCTGTCAGTTGTAAAAGTGAAACTGAATAGGCTCCATCAGATGATTTCAAAGCAACAAAAATGCCTGTCTTTCTCATTCCCCTACTGGGCACCTGAAGCCCCACTGACCTCTTGGGCAGGAGCTCTGCTTAACTTTGGCACTTTTCTGAGAAAAAGGAGAATTGCTGCTGGCTGAATTGATGGAAACATTGGCCATCTGCAGGTCCCCTCTTTCTCTGCTGGTCTAGCTGTGTAAATAGCATCACTGCAGGTGTGGGGAGGAGTTTAGCACTGGTAGGAGATGCACAAAAATGCACACAACACCTGGGCACTGCAAAGCAAGGAACAGGCAGAGAAAAGCATCAGGATAGCACCATGGGTACTGCAATAACAGAGTGGTTGTAAGGGGGAGGGCAATCATCTTGGTGTTATTGCCTCTTCTTTTTAGAGTAATGAAATTACGATGCTATCGATATACAATCCACCCCACATGAGATTATGTAGAATCATAGAATCATTAAGGTTGGAAAAGACCTCTAAGATCATCAAGTCCAACCGTCAACCCAACACCACCATGCCCACTAAACCATGTCCCTAAGCGCCTCATCTACACATCTTTTAAATACTTCCAGGGATGGTGACTCAACCACTTCCCTGGGCAGCCTGTTCCAAGGCCTGACCACTCTTTCAGTAAAGAAATTTTTCCTAATATCCAATCTAAACCTCCCTTGGAGCAATTTGAGGCCATTTCTTCTCGTCCTATCGCTTGTTACTTGGCAGAAGAGATCAACCCCCACCTTGCTACAACCTCCTTTCAGGTAGTTGTAGAGCGCGATGAGGTCTCCCCTCAGCCTCCTCTTCTCCAGGCTAAACAGCCCCAGTTCCCTCAGCCGCTCCTCATAAGACTTGTGCTCCAGACCCTTCACCAGCTTCGTTGCCCTTCTCTGGACACGCTCCAGTACCTCAATGTCCTTCTTGTAGTGAGGGGCCCAAAACTGAACACAGGATTCAAGGTGCGGCCTCACCAGTGCCGAGTACAGGGGCACAATCACCTCCCTACTCCTGCTGGCCACACACATGTAGTAGCAAACAATGTCTTCCTTAGGAGTCCTCAGATAAACTCCTCCAGCCAAATTTGTTTATATTAGGGACATAAAAATCTAATTTCTATTTTCAGTGGTTTAGGACATCCTGTCTGGGTTCTTCCAGGCATTCCAGAAGTTAGTGTCCTGTAGATGTTGCCTGCCAGTCCTGTGAGGATGTCTCTGATATCATAAAGCATCTATAATACTGGAGACCTTTCTTAGGCACCTGAATCATACTGCAAGTGCCTGCATTGGTAACCTCTAGCAGTATAACAGCATTTTTCTTAGCTTGACTTCCAGTCAAATTTGCGTCAATAGCTGTTCACTCCCACTTCAGTGAATGTAACGGTGGTGATTTTATTGTATAACATCCTGAGTTTTAAGGGGAAATCTGACTTGGCTACATCAAGAGCCAAAAGCATGCAATAGGTAACCTTCTAGCATACTTGAACTTTGCCTCTGCAGCGTTGCTCAGATTGATAAATTGTGGGAAACTATTTTCTTCACCAAAGAAGGCACATACCAGTCTGAATTTGAAAAGTTAAGCATAGTAAATAGGAAGGAACTATTTTTACATAGCAACAGACCTAGAGGAATGATCCTTTGAATGGTAATTATATGTATAAGTCTGTATCTATATACACATATAGAGTTTTAATTGCTTTTATTATAACTGTGCAAATGTCTGTCATTAGTATGTACTTGGAGATATGCTATGGTACTAATCAGATTTGTCAAGATGAGACAGTATCTTTCTATTCTCTCTTATACATCATAAACCCTGACTGATATCCCCAAGGGGAAAAAATGCATAATGTGTCATTTATGACCTGTTGCGTGCACAAATTATTTGCATTTTGTATGCAGAGGATAACAAAATGCTGTTGATTTTGAATTTGACTTTAGGAAGCTGATCTTTATTGCTAGTTGCCACTTGGCAGATTTTTCCTTCTGCTGTGAAATGTTTGATCTAAAATTTATGTTTGGAGAAATGGAAGCAGTGATGGTTTTATAATATTAAAAAAAAAGTGTATAAATTCTATCCTAGTAGATAGACATTATTCATAAGCAGAATAAACATCCTATAAATAAGATTAAATTTCAAATAAGTAACAAAAAACATGTAATATGCCAATATTGTTCTGCTTATACAACACTGCTCTGTAGCAGAACAGCTTTCTGGGGCTTGAAGCAAGGCACTGATCAGTGTCCGGATGCTTGCGCAGAAGCAAGCTTAAAAGGTAGAGCTAAGGGAAGTACACACAAATGCAATGCACTACATAATAAATAAAAGAAATGTAGAATAGTTTGGGTTATGAATTTTAACACACTATGGATATGACAGATTAAGAGTTAGGGAACCTCTGATACCAAAATTGTCCTTCCCAGCCCTACAGATATATGTGAGATACATAAAGGTTATTTCAATATCACTTTAGAGTATTGTTCTCACCTTCTACAGAAAAAGGAACAAAACAAATATTCATTAGCATAAGGATTGGAATATGACATCTTTTTTTTTTAGGGACAAATATATGTACCTATGGGTAATATCAAGGTTCTAATCCTTTCTTCATTTATTTCTTTAAGAATATCAATATAGTGATTCTTAAATATACATGTAACTTATCTTTGAGTATTTTAACAGTAGTTTACAAGCAGATATTGTAAACTAAGCTAAGTGGAAATACTGTGCTCTTCTACTGTTTTTGACTGTGGAATTATGAATATTTTTAGTATTGTTATTGTATATACTGGAAAACAAACACCAACCAAGATTGTTTAGGTTATCACTTTCTTTTGTGAAGAAGAATAATTCGAGAATTTTCTGATGAGGTCAGGTTTCAGTTACCATAGTTTTGGTTTGTGTCCAGAATTAACATTTCTTAATACCCCAGGAAGAAGTAGATTAAGTCACTACTGTTAACTGTCCATTAAACAGTTGACGTGCATCAACTGTTGACTTGGCTAACGTGCGTACTCACCTTCCTACCACCTTTCTAGTACCAAACCTATGCTTTCTGGAATTAAGTCTGCTTTGGCACTGTAACTCTTGTTTCTTAGGAGATCATTTCACTAAGTGAAAAATGCCTCAAACAGAGGTATTTAAAAATCAGCTACAAGCCTTTTTGCAACTTGTGAGGATACTGGACACGTAAATAATTTGTGTTTCTGTTATATGAAATGGAGTATATATGTTCCTATTGTCATTGATACATGTCCTTGACAGCAGAATTCCAGCCAAACTTTGAGTGGCATAGACGCATTAGCTCCATTACACTCAATGGAATCACATCACCTGAGAATCTGGCCTACAGCCCGTAACAAGACAGTCCTTTGGAGAGTAATAATATTTTATTCTTTCATCAATCACTCTCCTAGGTCTGTGGCTGTTCATGGCAGACTAAAAAATGTCATATTATAATCAAAAAAGCCTGCTGTGGCTATTTCACCATGTTTGCTCCCAAATTAACTTTACTAAAAGTGGCTCCAGTTCAGGAAAAATTCCTTCCAGAAAGCACAAGAGCCTGTCTTTAATAATGCAATATTTACATTTATTTTAAATATTCTGAGTACAGAGTGATTTCAAAACAATGTTCATATTCTTGATTTTTAGGCTCCAGGTGTTACATTCTATTTCCTCTGCTTTGACTATTTGCCTAGGACGTATGTCTGCAACCACGACAATAATAGATGGTAAGAACGGATCCGTTCCCTTATCATCCATGAAAGTGGGCAAGAAATCAGTAACGGAAGACCTCGTGACAACGTTCAGCTCACCAGCAGCATGGCTTCTTGTTCTTGCTCTGATTGTTACCTGGTCAGCAGTAGCTATTGTAATGTTTGACTTGGTGGATTACAAAGCCTTTGCAGGTAAAATTCAGCATATTCTGTTTGACATCTTGTATATTAAAATTTAAAAATTTATTAAGGAGTATGTATTATGTAAATATGCATGTCTCTCACCTTCTTGGAGCCAGCACAGTGTCTCTGCTGAGTTTACCAAGAGAGGAGATATTGTGAGAAATGTCAGAACATATTAGTTTACGCTTCATACATCTTTATAATTTAAATCTCTCCATTTTGCAGCCCATCCTCATCCTGGAAAATGTGTATGTTGACAGTAATATAATATGTATATGAGCATGTGTGGTGAGATTTCTGTTTCGCAATTTCTATATAAAATTATTTCAAGAAAAATAAAATTAATTATTAATTCACATTTTCTGAAATATATTTTAAAACCTTTCATAGTTGCCTTGAGTATTCTGGCATCTGCTTACACAGTTCAATGACAAGAAATATGCATATAAACTCCATCTCTAAATTCATCTTCAAAAACCATAAGCACAGAGGACCAGATTCTTAATATTAGCTAAGTCACACCCTTATCTTCAATAAGGCAATAATTCTATCCCAGTTTAAAACTGGGCAAACTGTCTGAACAAGATCAAGTTTTGGGGTACATATTGGTTACTGATGGCAAAGACGAAAACAAAGGCATGTGTGTGTGGTACAAGGACTGTGATTGTGGTTGAGGAATGGGACAAAAAGAATGGTGAATAGAAATTACCTCATTGCTATTTGATTTTTATGCCTTGTATCTGGCAATGATATATATGGAAAATAAAATGAACTAATTACCTATGTTTGTAAAGGGAGCATAGGGTTCAGCAAGCCACTTCTGCAGCAAAACTTTTGTGAGGTAAACAGTCTGTATTGACTCGGAAACATGTAAATGAAACAGAAAACAAATTATTAGGGTCCTTTTCTTTCTTAACTAAGAACTCCAGCTCTAAAGTTATCACGTCTGTCACAATAATTAACCAGGAATTGAAATTCAGACTTCAGCCTTTTAATTCAAAACAAATTGAGTTGATGTTTCAAAGTTAATTTCCTGGACTTTATTAGTTTACTGATAAATCCATAGATTTTTGTCCTGCTATATATCAATATTGACCTCAAGATTTACTTAAAAATCTTTTGAGACATAGATAGAGCTTGAAAGAAACTGCCCAATCCTGGATCAATGGATGACATAGAAGCCTGAAACGTGGTGAAAACGTATCACAAACCTCTGTTAAGTTTTCTGCTTCTCGTTTGCCCTTGTTTTTAGAAGGAACTCACTTGAGTCACAGCAAAACATAAAGTTCCTTTTGAGCAATCCTCCCAAAACAGGCATCAGATTTTAACTTGGACACAACACTCTTAATGTTACAACATCAATGTAAACCAAGAGAAACTACTATATTCTGCTTTTAATTTTCCATATTAACTGTCAACCAATCAATCAATCAAGTTCTTAATATATTTTCAACAAGCAGTCAGGAACCAGTGCATAATTCAGGCAAAACTCCTAAACTAAGCGATTCCTGAACTAGCTGTCAGCTCATGCATGCTCGATATACTAGTCAGGATAATGTTAAGCAATGAGAATCTGTATTCGTACTGGAGACTGAAGGAAACTTTCTAGGCAGATAGAAATCTGATGTTCATGTTGTATTGGTTAAATGAGCTTAAACCCCAAAGTTTTTGATGGAAACTGACATTTTCAGACCAGGCTGTAGAAATAAAAAAATGTAAAATTTAATCTGCAAGGCGAGTTCGTATTTTGTGGACATCTCTGAGAGATGATACTTTCGAATTTTGAGTTCATGAGTTCATTTCTTTTCTTTCCCAAAAATATTTTTGTTCCTAAGTGATTAATTAAGCCAGCACTTAAATCAGGTCTCAATGGTGAAATGCTAAGAGAAGGAACTGCTGTGCTCCTTCATACAGGATTTATTAGACTGTTTTCTATATTTACATAAATATAACAATGGCTACATAACTCTTATCACGACCCCTGGGTTTCAACTCCCAAGTTCCTGCTCAATATGATTTTTCCAGGTGAAACTCACCGATTTATAAAAATTCCATGGAAATTTCTGAAGATTTGAGATGGGACCACCTGACTGGTGTTATTGATACTAGAATGATTTCCACCCTCTGACAGGTTGGCCCTTTGCCTCCAGTGGAGGTATTGCCATCTTTTCATACAGAAAGTAGAATTTGGAGCATATTTTTATGTGACTCCTTAAATCTCTTGGGTTTGACACTGCTCTTTGAACATCCAGAACTGCATAAAAACAGTGAATAGTTATTTTCAAGACTGTAAGTTTAGTTTTGTAAGCATGATTAAAATGAAATTCCTAGTTTTTACATGTAAATGACAGATGGCAAAGAAATTATATTCAACTGTATATTTTTTGATCTATAAAACACAGAATATCCAGTGTATTTTTTCCTTAAATAACACTTGCCTTTCATAAGTCAGTGCATTCAATTTCTTTCCCATTTCTTCACCTGAAGTTCCATGAAGTTCAAGTTTAGAAAGTATGCATAGCATATGAATGAGGCAAGCTGAGAGAGCTGAACTCAGTCAGGAGAAGAGGAAACTGAGGGGTGACCTAAGAGCAGCTGCAGCTTTTCGAAGGGCACTTACAAAGATGACAGATGACAAACAGTTACCAAGATGATGTCCTCCTTGTATCAGGTGATGTAACAAGAGGGATATGGCCAGAAACTGCTGCCCAAGAGGTTCATGTTGGACACTGTGGGGGGAACAGTCTTTACCAGGAGGACAGCGCAACACTGAAACAGGTTGCTGAGAGGGGCTGCAGGTTCTCCATCCTTGGTAGTGTTCAAGATTTGGCCAGATGGCCATGGCTTGTCAGATCCAATATTGGCAACAGTCCCTCACTGAGAAGGATTGCACTAGATGAACTCTCAAGGTGCCTACTGATCAACATCTACGTGATTGCAAGATTTCATTAAAACACCTGTTAGAATCACATAAGGTAGCTAGAAAGCACCTAGACAGAGATCTCAGTGGAGAGGCAAAGATAACTAAGGGGCAGATTCTCCCCTTCTCACATACGAGGAGTGGATCTATGGACCTTTGTAGTCAGGATTTCACTCGCTCATTTCTACGGTTAATCCTGTTGATTTTCATGCAGGTGTTTCACACTGATTCCTAGTGGGATGACTTAAAAGCATACTGTGCACATCTGCAGAGCTAGCCCTTTGCCAGATTTGTGGGAAGCAAGGACCTGAGTTGGGAGAGCTCTGGGAGTGCTGGGTAAAAATTCCAACACACCTCCATACTGGGGCTGGTTCTGACCTACGGGCTCCCACCAGAGACTTCCACTACGTTTCTGTGCCAGAAATGACCCTCTCCATAGCAGAGCCGCCAGTAGTGACTGTACTGCTCAGGGCTAACTGCTGCAGAAAATAGGAGCAGGCTGACATAGTAAACCAGGCTGGGAACTGTGTGGCTGAGGAATATACACAGAATTGCTCCTCCTGATTACGCTACAGAGCTGCTAACCTCTGGCCAATAAAGGAAGTGTAAAGCCCTAAATTATGAGTTTACCTAGATTACACAGAGATTCATGGAGCTCAGTAGAAACACAATACATCAGCAGAGTAGAAAGTATTTTAAACTTTAACTCAAGCATTGTTTTTTAGTTCAACAATTAACAATTTTGCTCTCACTATCTTAAAGGCAAATAATTCCAAAAAGACATAAAGTATTAGTATATGTATTTTAGCTCTTACGTATTCTTTTATCAGTATAAACTTCACGTTGCCTCTATGATTACAGAGTGCCAACCCATAGGTTATGCTTCTTGATTACTATAGTTTATGTTCTTTTAGAAGTAAACTATCAAGTTTGGGAATTTTGACAATTTATATAAGATGAAATTTGTCCCAGAAGTAACTATATGCAAGTGAGGTGTTTGGTTCCATCTTAAAATAGATGTGGTAAATTACTCATTTGGGGACCCCTCTATTCAGTATTTGAAAAGAAGAACTGAGGGAGGCTAAGGGAGGATAACACTTAGTTTTTAGATAGCTGAAGTTAGATGACATGAACTCAAGCTCCACTCATAGAAAGATCCATTTTGCGTAATTTTACACATCCAGATGTGTAACATGATTACTGTATATTCTATAGTACTCTGTAGTATTCAGGAGGTGCTGGTTATGATATAAAATATTGCAGGAGGACCCTGTGTTATGGGGTGCACACGTAAAGCTGTGCCTCCTTGGTGGTTATGTGTCAGTTTGTTCAGAGGTTAGAACAGAGATGGGATTTGCAAGTCAGCTTTGGCAGTGGAATTTGAGGAAAGCATGAGCCAAGAATTAGATCAGTGCTGAAATATTCGCCCCTGTTCTATCTACCCGGAAGAAGGAAATTAAATTTTGCAGTGTTTCGGTTTAGTGTGTTATGTTCATTCCTTTGAGGAAAGAAATTAAAGCTTGCATTCCTATCATGTTGTATTGTACAACCATAAACATGACTGAAATATTTCTAATGTGGTATGAAGGTGACATGCATTACAAAAGCCTGAGATAAGAAACTATGAATCTCAAGCACTGTGTAGCGTGTATGAATATGCAAAAAGTTACATACCGCTTTGGAAGATCTCTTATACATTCTCAGAATTTTCAGAAATGCAGAAAAAAGATTAATTTTGGTTTGATGTGTGCTTTGCAGCAGTTTGTTATTACTACCATCCTTTGTGTTAGAAAATACACCTTGTTAATTGGCCTCATAATTCATGAATGTATTTCACGCATTTCTTGTACACATAACTGGATTATATATTTTAATTGGTAAATGTAACTAAATAATTTAAGATTATTTTAGTCCTAAAAAGATTGATTGCCCAGGAATCCATGTTTGCTAAAGGGCTAATAAAGTGTTCAGAATTCCCTGCCATCTCTGTGACCAATTACAGCTAATTAACACTACCCTAATTTCAGCTCCAGAGTGTTTAATATTCAGAGTAAATTGATAGTGATTTAGCCAGTCACCTAAAGGCCAG